TTTTTTTTGAGTGGCTTGTCTCACTTAGTATAATGTCCTCAAGGTTCATCCATGTTGTAGCAGGTGACAGGTTGAATAATATTGCTTTGTATGGATAGACCCCATTTTCTTTATCCATTCATCCATCAATAGACATTTGGGTTGCTTCCACCCATCTCGAGAGTCTTCATCACACCTACAAAGTCCTTTTTGCCATGTAAGGGAACACATTCACAGGTTCTGGGGATGAGGGTGTGGACACCTTTGGGGCCACTGTTCAGAACACCACATAATTCCATGGTATTATCATCTCTCTCTGGTGGCCCCTTCCTTTATGTCTAGGTACTCCAGTGCTTTCCAGTTGGAGCTGCTGGTCTGAACACGTTGCTGTTCACATCTTTTGGTGGATGGACACACATATTTCTGTGAGGCACTTGCCTAGGAAGAAAATGGCTGGGTCAGGAAATGCTGCCAAACCATTTCCCTGAGTGGTAGATCCACCTTCCCTCCAGTGAGTGAATGAGGACTTCAGTTACCCACAGCAATCCACAAACACTTGGTATTTTCAGATTTTCCCATTCTTGCCAGTCTGGTGGGCATGTTGTGGAAATTCATTCTGGTTTTGCACTGGCATTTCACCTTTTCGTGCATTTATTGGGAACTTGAATATCCTTTTTTGTGACGTGTCCCTTCAAGTAGATTGCCCATTTTCCCTTCAGGTTGTCTGCCTCTCTTACTGGTTTCTAGGAATTCTTCACATTTTCTGCAATGAGTCTTTTTTTGACATATGCAACACGAGTGTCACATCCTTTTCGGAATCTCCTTTTCACTCTCTTCATGGTGTCTTTGGATGAACAGATGTTCTTAATTCTAACGAAGTTCTGTTTTTCAGCCTTTTTCCTTTATGGTTGGTGCTTTTTTTTTTTTGTCTTTTTTCGTGACCAGCAACGGATCGCAACCCTCAGTGTCGCGCCAGTCCGTACTGGACTGGGACCGGCAACGGGATCGCAACCCTCGGTGTTGCACCTGCACCTCGCTCAGCCAGTGAGCGGGAACCGGTCTGTATGTGGGATCCGAACCCTCGGCGGGAGTGCCGCCGCGCTCCCAAGCAGCGCACTGTAGCAGTGTGCCACCGGGCCGGCCCTATGGTTGGTGCTTTTATGTGTCCTGTTTAAGAGGTCTTTACCCACTCAAGTTCATAAAGAATGTTCTACATTTTCTTCTACAGCTTTGCCCACTTTTCACATTTAGATTTACAATCCATCTGGAATAGATTTGCATGTGTGCTGAGTTTAGGAGCAACACTGTTTTTTTTGGTTTTTGGGTTTTTTTTGCTGTGGATAATACTTGGACCCTGTACCATTAACTGAAGACTTGTTCTCCCACACAGTGTTGCCTTTGTTGGGAGGCAGGTAACAGAAGGCATGGGTCTATTTCTGGACCGTCTTTGTTCCATTTGTCTAGTTGTCTGATCTTCTCATGCTTGTTTCTGCTCTGAGGGGGTCCTAGGGGCCTGACTTGGGAAGCTTCCCTCCCAGAGGCTTATGGCAGCTGCTGCTGTGTAGAGCAGCCCCAGTCCAGTGCCATGCGAGGCTCCTCAAGGGTGCTTGCCTAGGGTGGAGCTGTCAGACTCAGTTTCTCCACTTCTTATCTTTCAGGGATCAGCTGTGTTGCCACAGGGATCTGCCTCCCCACCCCAGGAGTGGCCAGTCCCTGGCTCCCTGGCCCTTCTGAGCCCCCGCTCCCGGCTCCAGCAGCCCCCGCTCCTGGTTGCTCCTGTCTGAGCCCCACCCCCAGCCACTGTAGGCTTGGCTCCTATTTGATTGGGAGAATGGTCCCAGAACACTCACCTTCGACTGTGTAATTTCCAAGGTTTAGGTGCTATGGAAAGAATCAAAGTTTACCTATCACATTGTCAAAAGTTAAAATGTTTCATGGTACCCAGTGTTGGTGAGTATATTAGTTTCCTGTGGCTGCCATAACAAAGTACCACAAACTGGGTAGTTTATTTTATTTTTTAATTTTTTTTTTTTAATTTTTTAAAAAAGTTGACCGGTAAGGGGATCTTAACCCTTGACTTGGTGTTGTCAGCACCACGCTCAGCCAGTGAGCGAACCGGCCATCCCTATGTGGGATCCGAACCCGGGGCCTTGGTGTTATTAGCACCGCACTCTACCGAGTGAGCCACGGGCCTGCCCGAAACTGGGTAGTTTAAAACAACAGAAATTTATTCCCTCACTATTCTGGGGGCCAGAAGCCCAAAATCAAGGTGTTGGCAGGGCTGCGTTCCTTCCGGAGGCTCTGGGGGAGCGTCCTTCCTTGTCTCTTGCAGATTCTGGTGGCACCAGGCGTCCCGGGCTTGTGGTTGCAACGCTGCAGTCCCTGCTTCTGTGTTCACGTGGCCTCCTCCCCTGGGTCTGTGTCCTCTTCTGTCTGTCTCAAATCTTTCTCTGCCTCTCCCTTATAAAGACACAAACTGGATTTAGGCTGACCTAGAGAACCAGGATGACCGCCTCATCTCACCATTCTTGTAAAGATGCTTTTTCCAAATAAGGTCACACTCAGAGGTCTGGGGAATAAGGACATGGATGTTCCTTTTGGGGGGTCACCATGCAGCCCAGGGGATTTGAGGAATCACTGGTAGCAGGAAGGCAAGTTGGAACAGCCTCTTGGGGGACAACTGGGCATTGTCAATAAAACTTTAAAACATACATACTCTCCGACTAGAAGTTCCACGTCTCAGAACATGCCCAGTGGGACCTGCGCAGTGCTCAGACACCTGCGCCGGAATGTTTTCTGGTGCTTGTGAGGCACGACGTCTATTTTAACATGAGAAACCAAAGCTCTGTCTTCAGGGTGGAGCCTGTTCGTGACGGAGCCCCGCGCCTCTCTTTTTAGACCTGGTGGAGATGCTGCTGCTGCAGAACGCCCAGATGCACCAGATTCTCGTGCAGAGCCTCATGCTCGCCGCGCTGCCACCCGCGCAGGTGAGCGCCAGGAGACCGCCCACCTCCGCCTACGCAGCCCGGAAGGCATTTCTGGCTGCGGGTCTGTGGTCCAGCGGTGAAGCCCCCCCAGCCCCCCCGCAACCCTCCCCCGGCCGCCGCAGCTGGGTCGCCTCTCCTGCCCCCGAGGCGTCCATCTTTGTCAGGTCTGCAGCAGGAGGCTTAAGAAGCCTGGAGAGCTCCCGCCGCGTCCCAGAGGGTCGCAGGTCTCGGGCCACACGAGTGTAGACCCCAGGCCAGCCTCCCGGGGGGAAGCCGACTGCGGCCCAGCGGGACTGGCCCCGGCAGGATCCGGCACAGGCCTGGCTGCCCAGTGTCCCCACCCGGGCTGGCTCTGGGGACATGCCCCACTGCGACCCCAACCCTCAGCGTGTTGTCTACGAGCCAGACCAGGACGGTAACTACACCCAGGGACACTCCCGCCTTTCCTGTAGGATGGCCGACGGCGTCCTGCCTACACTGGCCCCCGGCCTGTGAGCCCCTCTCTGTGTGAGCAGCAGGGTCTCCGGTCTTTGATCGCCTTCTGTGCTCACAGCCGGGAACCAGGTAAACTAGGTAAACCCGGACTCGACCATCCTGTGAAGTGCGAAGATCTCATCAGGAAAGAATTTAGGAAAATCAGGGCACAGGAACCACAAAGAAAAGACCAATAGCTCTAGCCACACAAAAATTTAGACATTCCTATGGGAAAATACCGTTAACACAGTCAAGTACAGTAACTGGGGAGACCCGTTTACCACGTGTGGAATGGGCTCCTCAATTGAAAGCAGCTGTGAGGTGATCCCTTTGGAGTTAAAAAAAAAAAAAAAAAAAAAAGACAAAACAGTATACGACACGTGTTTTGTAAAGCTTTTGCCCTGGAAAGCAGACACAAGCGGCCGCACTGTGGTTCCTACTGCAGAGCCTGAGGCAAGGTGCGCTCCCTCCAGCTTGTCCTTCTGGTCCTGTCGGGGTTTCTTAGCAGATGTATGTGCCACCTTTACTTCCTTTACTTTTTGTTACTCTTTTTTTTTGATGAAATTATGTTCCCTTTCTGTTTAAATGTTACTTTTATTTAAATATAATTTTTTTTTTTTTGAAAAAATTTTTTT